CATTTAGTAGACCACAGAGAAGATTTCAACAACCATTAAAGAATGGTTGTCATATAGACAACATGTTTCCAACTACAATGCAACTATGTTAGAAACCAATAACCAAAAGAAAGCATTTAAAACTCCATTTTCCTGAAAATGCAAAAAGCACACTTAAAAAAAAAATCATAGGTCAAAGAAAAATCATAAGGAAATTTAGAAAATATGAAAAAACTAGGCAATAATGAAAATACTTCAAAACTTTAGAGATGCAGTTAGAAAGATTCATAGAAGCTTAAGTGCTTACATTAAAAAAGAAGAAAGTCTAATCCAGTAATTCCACTTCTGGGTATATGTTCAAAGAAAACAAAAATACCAACTTGAGAAGTCATCTGCATGCCCATGTTCATTGCAGCATTCTTTACAATAGTCAAGATATGGAAACAACATAAGCGTCCACTAATGGATGAGTAGATAAAGAAAATCATATATATAGATATAATTTTATATACATATATAATTATTATTTAGCCATAATGAAGAAGGAAATTTTGCCATTTGCAACAGCATGGATGGATCTTAAGGACATTATGATATGTGAAATAAGTCAGAGAAAAAGACAAATACCATATGATCTTATTTATAAATGAACTCCTTTTAAAAAAAATAGTCGAATTCATATATTCAGAGAATAAATTGGTAGGCGTTGGAGGGTCAGTGAGATGAGTGAAGGAAGTTAAAAGGTACAAACTTCCAGTTATAAAATAAGTAAGTCATGGGGATATAATTTACAGCATGGTGACTACTGTTAATTGTACTATGCTGTGTATTTGAAAGTTAAAAACAATAGATCTTTAAAGTTCTCATCACAAGTAAAAAAAGATTTTGTAACTAAGCAGGGTGACAGATGTTAACTAGACTTAATGTAGTAATGATTTCACAATATATACACATCAAATTGTTATGTTATACACCTGAAACTAATGTTTACATGTCAATTATACATCAGTTAAAAAAAAGACTGAAAATTAATGAGCTAAGGATTCAACTCAAGAAGTTAGAAAAAGAACAACAAAAGTCCAAAGAATACAGGAAGAAGGAAGCAAATAAAAAGATAAGAATAAAATGAACAAAATGGAAAATAATGATACAATAAAGAAGATGAATAAAGCCAAGAGCAGATGCTTTGAGAAAAGTAACGAAAATCTTTAACAAAACTGATCTAGAAAAAAGAGAAAAACCATAATAAAAATTATAATCTTTTAAAGGGGTATCGCCACTGATTCAAAAAAAGGTTTTAAGAGAGAGACAATTGTAAACAACTTCATGTCAACAAGTGTGAAACTTTACAGACGAGGTTTCCTAAAAAAAAGTAACTTGCCAAAACCAATACCAGATTAAAAAAAAAAAAAAAGGCCAGAAAACCAGATAGAGCTATTGAAGACATGGACCCTACAGTTACAAATCTACAAATCTACCCAACTACAAAGACTGAGCCTTCTACAAACTCTGCCACAGCGTGGAGAAAGTGGGAAAAACTCGAATTTATTTTATGAAACTAAAGGTGGTAACTGGAGCATAACTATGGATAACTCATTTGAGGAAGAATCCCAAAGTTTCACAAATCTGTAAAGAAAAGGGAACAAAGAATGACGACAGGATAAAGTGAACAATATCTGGGACTATATTTTGGATCTCTAAAATAAGCACAGTAAGTAGTCTAAACACTGGATTTGTTCAAGGATCTCCATATTTGATTATGGTTCATGTCTACTGTAGGTATAGTTTATGCAGGTAGATACCATCAAGATCAATATCTTTCTCATGCATTCTACTAGAGTATCCATGAAGTTTTTCTGTCAAGAGTAAACATTTTGTAACCTTAATATATATATGTATACATACACACACACACACACACACATATATATATAATATAGATAAATATAAATATATATAAATAAATACATAACTCCATGAGAGAGATGAGATGATAGTTATTAAGTTGTGTCCGACTCTTGCAAAGCCTGCCAGGCTCTTCAGTCCATGGGATTCTCCAGGCAAGAATACTGGAGTGGGTTGCCATTTCCTTCTCAAGGGGATCTTCCCAACCCAGGAATCAAACGTGGATCTCCTGCATTGCAGGCAGATTCTCTACCAACTGAGCCATGAGGGGAGCCCATATAAATCCATATCCACATGCAAAAGAATGAAGTTGGACAATACTCCAAGTAGATCATGGGCCTAAATGTTAACTATAAGACTCTTAGAAGAAAACATGATTAAATCTTCATGACCTTGGTTAAGCAAAGATTTTTAGATACAACATTAAAAGTATAAACAACAAAAGAAAAAATAGGTAAGTTGAACTTCATCAAAATTAAAAACATTCATGCTTCAAAAGATACCATCAAGTGAGTGAAAAAACAACTCATAGAATAGGAGAATATATTTGCAAATCACATTCCTGAAAGGGGTCTAGACGCTGAAGTAGAAAAAGAACTATTATAAATCAATAATAAAAAGACAAATAACCCAATGCAAAAATCGGCAAAGGACTCAAACAGACATTTCTCCAAAGAAGACACACAAGTGACCAATAAACAAATGAAAAGATGCTCAACATCATTAGCCGTTGGGGAAATCCGAATTGAAACCACAATGAGACAACACTTCATATACACAAGAATGGCTGTAGTCACAAAGTCAGATAATAACAAGAATGTGGAGAAACTGGAACCTCATTCGCTGCTAGTGGGAATGTAAAATGGTGCACATAGGAAAATCGTTCCTAAAGAGTTACTACAGACCCATCAATTCCACTCCTGCAGGTAGATCCAAGACATATGAAAACATATGCTCACACAAAAAATTGGTATGCAAATGTTCATAGCAGCATTATTCACAATAACCAGAAAGTGAAAACAACCAAAACATCCATCAAATGATAAATGGATAAACAAATGTGGTATGTCTATACAACGGAATATTATTCAGCCACAGAAGGCAAGCAGTTTTGATACATAGGCAGTTTTGACACATACTACAACTTGGATGAACCTTGGAAATATTATGTGGAATAATATTACAGATACAAAAAGTCATACCTTGTATGATTCAGTTAAAAGGAAAATCCACAGAGCCAGAAAGTAGATTGGTATCCGGGAAAATGAGCAGTGACTGCTAATGGGTACATGGTTTTTCTGACAATGATGAAAATGTTCTAAAATTGATGGTGGTGATGGCTGCACAACTCTGTGAATACTAAAATGCACTGAATTATATACTTTAAATGGGTGCATTGTATGGTATATGAATTATGTTTCAACAAAGCTGTTAACAATAAACCATACAGACGGTTTCTGAAAATTGCAACTTATGTCTCTCGGGACAAACTGTGATTAAAACACATTTCAAGTGAGAAGTTTCAGTTGGAGAGGACAACTGTCAGCAGAAGTTGCAAATGTCAATGTCATCACTGCTCTTTCATGGACTGCCCCTCACCAGCATCTCTTGGACATTAGCTACTTTATACACCAGATGAAAACTGCTAAATGCACATTTCATCATTAGGAGCCTAAGGATCCCTAGAAACTTCAAAGTCCTCCCTTTGATTTTATAGATGAGGAAACTAACCTAGAAAGATGTGAAAACTCTGTCAAAAGTCACACAGCAAGCCTACACTGAAGTTGGGATTGGAACCAGTCTCCCCATCTCCCCTTTGTCTTCCTAGAGATTTTCTACAGGGCTCCACGCTCTTTAAGCTGGTCTTCTGAACACAGGCAAAACTAAACTCCACAGCCTGGATATCTGATCTTGGCTGCGGGCAGGAGCTAGAAGGGGGTCAGGAGGCTGCAAATTCTAGGAGAGAAAGGGGGACATTGTGGGGAGGAGATAGGGTTGGGTTTCGAGAAGACAGCTTAAGCCCTAGTTCCTGTAAAAGAGGGGACGCAGCAGGGGGCATAAACTCAGAGGAATGAGCCATCCCGTGGTGTCACACGTGGTCTGGGGCCTGTGGCTATTTTTTCCTGTTACTGATGCGGTTGGAGGGTGAACTCACAAGAACAGCCCCCCACTTACCGAGCTATCTCCACCTCAGACAACTATGATGTTGCCCCCCACCCCCAGAAGTTGCTCTGTGAGTCACTCAACCCATGGAAACCTCAGGTAAAGACAGAAGCTGGAGAAGACCCCGGGCCCCTGGTCCCCCCCACATCGCTCTCCCCAGCAGGGTCACACAGCCGTCCACCCATCCACGCCATGGGTACTATACCAGACCAGGGCTAGCGTGGAGGCCGGAGACCAGCGAGGCCACTGGTTCTCCTCACAGACAGGAGCAGGAGACGCTGTCCTGGCACATGTGTTTGAGGTCCAGAACCTGGCCCTGGGGCTGGGCTTCAGGTGTGGGCAGGAAATGGGCAAAGAGGTCTGAACAAGAATTTATTTTCTCCCCACTGCCTCAGGAGGAAGGAATGGTCACATGCTTTAATATTCACGGAGGGCCAGGCCCTGGTCTGAGCACTTCACACATAGTAACCCTTCAAATCTTCATAACCCATGGGGTCTACACTAAGAGTACCCCCATTTTGGGATGAGGAAACTGAGACACAGAGAGGCTAAAGACACTGACCAGGCTGCACAGCTACCGGGCAACTGAGCTGGCCCAAGCCGAGGTGGCCTGGTTCCCAAGCTCCTACTTTATACTGCCTCTTACAGCTCACACATGCGATGCTGCGGGGAGAAGCAGGGAAACTGTTCCTGCTGGCCTGTCATCAACTCCAGAGTTGAATCTCAAAGCTCTCAGATCCCTGTGCTCTTGCTCCACCCACGAAACCCCACCTGTTTGCCCCCGGTCCCCATGCCCCAGGCAGCGCTGCTTGGCAGATGAGCCTCTGGCCCTCACCGCTCGTTTCCTGAGGGCTGTCAGCAGGCCGGATGAGGAGGTGAGGACAGGGTGGGTGCCGGTGGGCGGGGGGGAGAGCACAGGGGACCCGTGACTAGAGCTGGTGGCGGGGCGGGGCAGGAAGCAGAAATGATGTGAGCTGTGGCCTGGGTGATGAGCTGTGTGGTGAGCCTGTCTGGGGGGCTGCACCACCATTTCAGGAGCTGTCCGTGGGGAAAGAAGGTGTCCGCATAGGAGCATCTCGGCACAGGACTCCAGGTAGGGAGGAAGCAGGGGGCCAGGGAGGCTGGGAGCCCCTGGGTGGAGACAGAGGGGCACAAGAGCCTGTCTGGGGAAGAGCCCGATGTAGCAGGAAGTGCTGTGACCCATAGACAAGAGGCCTGTGTCTAGACCGCGCTCGACCACTGACTCACTAGGCAGCCTCACGCCCTCCCAGGGCTTCAGTTTTCTGTTATACAAAATGAAGAGGTTAGAGTATGTTTTTAAGGCCCCTTCAAATGCTTGTTAAAACTAAAAAAGCCCAGAAACAGGCTCCCTGGGAGATAATATGACGAGGGTCAGGGTGGAAATAAGTAATAATTTTTTTTTTTTTGCCACGTCACACAACATGTGGGATTTTAGCTCCCCAGCCAGGGATGGAACTTGCACCCCCTGCAGTGGAAGCACAGAGCTTTATCTGCCGAACCACCGGGAAGGTCCCAAGACTCTGTTTTTTAAAGTTACAAACCATGCTGGCTCCCTAAGTGAGATGATCTGAGGGCATTCCAAAAACTCCCCTTCTTCTGTTTACCTCCCCGGAGCCTGCTGTGTTGCCTGGAATTTTGCCACTCCTTTGGGGAAGGCATGGGAGGCTCCAAGCTAGAATGCAGGGCAGATTCCTGCCCTCCATAATCCCCTGGGCCTCCGACAAGCTGCTGTCCCTGGTAGGTGCTAGAGGGGAGCGGCCTCTGAGGAGCTCGGTTTGGACAGGGATAGAGTGGAAATTCCAGTTCATAGCAGCCCCAGTGAGGCTCCTGAGCCACCTCCAATTGAGGAAGAACCTTTTAGCTAAGCATTTAGTGATAGGCAGCTCAAAGATATGAGCAGAATTCTGCAGAGAGGGGCAGGGAAGGCCAAAGACGAGACGAGCATCAGGAGGAGAGCAAACTGAATGACTCCTCCCCACACTGGATCTAGGGACGCAAGTGCTCGGGCAGCTTTTATCCTAGAATTCAGGCTGATGCTCTTCCATGAGCTCAGAGAGAGGACCCCACTGCGCAACGGGGAGGAAGGTGGTGATGTGCAACCTCATTTCTTTCCCAATACTGCTGAGGGCTTAATGGGTGAGTGGGATGAGGGGCAGTGAGAAAGACTGGGTGGGTAAAGAAAGCATGGCTTGTTCTTGAATCCAAAATGATCCCTCTCCAGAATCCAGGCTTCCCTAGACTCCCCAGATTCCTCCTCAAATCTGCTCCAACTAATCTCTGCCCCCTTCCTCTGCACGCAAAACCCCTTTCCACCAACAGTAGCTGCAATCCTGGGGACAAAACCATCCATCTGGATTCCTATTCGAAATCCTAGTAAGGGTCTCCGCCTGGCTGTGTGACCTTGGGCAAGTCCCTTCCCCTCTCTGGGTCCAGCTGGACAATGCAGGGGGTGGACCAGACTTGTAAAGGCCATACCAGCTCTGACATTCAGTGACTTGAGAGATGTATCTCCATCCCTCTCTACTGCCTATGTCCTGATAACCTACAGTTGGAGGAAGCGTTGGCCACCCTCCATGCCCCTGCCCACAGCTTCTGGGAGACCAAATGCCCCCTGTCTCCACAGCTCCATGGCCGCCCGAGGGCTCCTCCTTGGCATCCTCCTGCTTCTGCCCGCGCCCGCCCCTGCCCCCTGCTACACGGCCGCGCGCTCTGAATGCCAGCGCGCCCACAAGTTTGTGCCAGGCTCCTGGCTGGCAGGGGAGGGCGTGGACGTGACCACGCTCCAGCGCTCAGGCTCGTTCCCAGTGGACACACAGCACTTCCTGCGGCCCGACGGCACTTGCACCCTCTGCCGCAATGCCCTGCAGAAGGATGTCCCCCAGCGCCTGCCCCTGGCGATCACTGGCTGGCGTGCCCACGGAGCGGGCTGCAAGCGCAACGTCGTCAAGTATGAGGGCCGCTCCACCGAGGATGTGGCGGGGGAGGCGGCCAACAGCATCCGCAATGACTGGAAGATGGGGCTAGATGTGTCTCCCAAGACAAGCACTAATGTGCGTGTGACCGTGGCGGGCTCCCACTCCCAGGCTGCCAACTTCGCCGCCCATAAGATTCACCAGGACAAGTACCTCTTCAGCCTGGACTTAGTGGAGTGTCGTTTTTACAGGTGAGCACTGGGGGTGGAGGGGACTTGAGAAAAGGCATGAGAAACTCAGGGTGATCTGGGAGTCCTGGAGGTAAGGTGGGGACCGGAGGCTGCTTCCACCAGGAGGAGATGCCCAACCCCCTCTTTCATGGGCATCATCACCTTCCAGTGGGCAGGAGACCCAGCTCAGTCCTCCTCTTCTCTGGGCCTGTTTCATCCACTCTAGCACTCTTCATTTCTGCCTTCTTAGGCTCTGTGCTGGGAATTAGGACTACAAGTTGAACAAAAGTAGACATGCCCCAAGTCCTCAGGGACCTCGTCACCCTGAGAAATGCATGTCTCCATGGGACCTAGAGTCACTGACCCTGATTTCTCTCATGGAAGGCCATGTTTCCCACATAGTGAGAGAGGGCACCTCCTGACTGCATGGCCAGAGCTGTCAGGAGCCTGGGCACACAGGATCCAGTCCAAGAGAAAGACAGACAAAGTCCACAGACTTACCAACAGTAAGGTATCATTGCTTTTAAAATTAGAAAATAAAGAGAAAAAACAAACTTTTCTGAGTAAGAAAAACAGAAATACCTATACAAACTATCTAGGTTACCAAGGAGCAATGGGCAGAGTGGGTTTCCTGCGGGATTGGTGATTCAGAGTTTGGGCTTTGGAGCCAGGCCACCTGGGTTCAAATCCTAGCTCTGACACTTAATACGACCTTGGGCAATCTCAAGGGGGTTACTGAAAGGGGCCCACCACTGGGCTCACCTGCTGTTTTCCTCACCTCTCAGTTTCCACCTGGTGCACACTCCCCCAGTACACCCTGAGTTCAAGAGGGCCCTCAAGACACTGCCCCCCCACTTCAACACCTCCACCGAGCCCGACTACCGGAGGCTTATCTCCAGCTACGGAACCCACTTCATCCGGTCCATGGAGCTGGGCGGCCGCACCTCAGCCCTCACTGCCCTGCGCACCTGTGAGCTGACCCTGGAGGGGCTCACGGCCAACGAGGTCGAGGACTGCCTGGCTGTCGAGGCTGAGGTCAGCATAAGCAGCCACGCCAGTGCCTCGTCATCATTCAAGGAATGTGAGGAGAAGAAGAAGCAGCACAAGTTGGGGACCTCCTTCCACCAGGCCTACCGGGAACGTCATTCCAGTGTTGATGGTGGCCACCACTCAACCATGCATGACCTGCTCTTCGGGAACCAGGCTGGGCCTGAGAAGTTCTCAGCCTGGGTGGCCTCATTGCAGGACAGCCCTGGCCTGGTGGACTACACGCTGGAGCCTCTGCACATGCTTGTGGAGAGCCAGAACCCACGGCGGGAGGCCCTCAGGCAGGCCGTGAGCAAGTACGTGACTGACAGGGCACGCTGGAGGGACTGCAACCGCCCGTGCCCCCCGGGGGAGCACAAGAACCCAAAGAACCCATGCCAGTGCATGTGCCCTGGTTCAGCAGCCACCACCCAGGACTGCTGTCCCCGGCAGAGGGGCCTGGCCCACCTGCAGGTCATGAACTTCAAGGCATCAGGTCTGTGGGGAGACTGGATCACTGCCACGGACGCCTATGTGAAGGTCTTCTTCGGCGGCCAGGAGCAGAGGACCGCCACAGTATGGAACAATAACAACCCCACGTGGATGACGCGGCTGGACTTCGGGAATGTGCTCCTGGTCACTGGGGGCCCCCTGAGGGTGCAGGTCTGGGACGCAGACAATGGCTGGGATGATGACCTGCTTGGCACATGTGACCGCACCCCACAGTCTGGCTCACATGAGGTGTCGTGCCCTATGAACCACGGTCACCTGAAATTCTCCTACCAGGCCAAATGCTTGCCTCACCTGACGGGGGAGAGGTGCCTGCAGTATGACCCCCAAGGGCTTCTGGGGGACCCTCCAGGAAACCGGAGTGGGCCAGTGTGGTGAGAAGCGGGTCCTGAGAGGACCAGTGTGCAAACTGGAAAGGTTCCATGCAGGAACCTGTATCTCCATTTCTCCATTAGACAGATAGAAAACTGAGACCTTCTTTTTTTTTCCCCAATGAGGTGGCTGAATTTACAGGCCAGCCCTCAGGCCTGTCCAAACTGCCTTAGGGCTTCAATATTCTCAAGCCCAGGAAAGGAGGTGGAGCTGAGTTAGGCCCTACAGCCACTGCTACACTTCCCTACAGGTCAGGAATAGGGCGGAAAGCCAGGAGGCTGTTCCCGCCAGGCTGCCTGGCGTCGTTTGCACCATTCCCTTGCAGCCCCTCTTCTAGCGTGGTGAATTCTTCATCATATTAGACCTAACCTCTTTGGCCCCAGCTGCTCCGTTTACTCTGTTTTCTTGGCCCACCGAGCTTTGCCTCTTAGCCAAAATCCAAGTCTGTCTTGACTTGTCTCGTTGTGTACACAGTCTGACCAATAAAGGCGATGTGATGGTGACCATGATGGTGGTGGTGGTAGCAGAGGGAATGACAGAGACCAGACACGGCCTTGGAGATGAATTTCGACCTTAGCAACCCGACCCAACAGAACAGGTGGTTGACCCCAGGGGCAGGCAAGTAATATAACTGTTTTCCAATTTTGTTGGAAATGGGGAGGACCCAAAATATCTGTCTCCTCATAACTCTCTGATTCGAGAAAGAGTAGCATAAACAGTAATAAACATAAGTAGATGTTCAGCTCTAGCAGGGAGATAAGAGGGAATGGTGAAGACTAGAATGAGCTGAAGGGCATGTCTTATCCAGGGTCAGGGAAGGGGAGGGGCATCTCTGCAACAACCAAAGGTTCCCAGGCAGGAATGTGAGCCCGGTGATGCCAAGTTTTCTAATTCCTTAAAGTAACCAGAAATCCCAGCTTGACTTCTAAGTGTTGGCAATTCACTTCACTTTGTAAAAATAAACCAACATGGGCAAGCACAGTACAAGCCAGGGGACATGTACGCAGGTCATGATTGTTCCAGAGCAATCATTTGAAAATTCTAATTTCAGAACCTGGCTGACTTAACAGCTCTCTGCGTCCTACAATTCTAGGGGAGAAGGCAGTGGTTTCAAGGGCTCCTGGCCTTGGCATGAAGAAACCTTCAGAGCCTCAGGCTGTGATGTAACATGACCTGGTCTTAGTTTCATGTGCCTGAAACACAGGCCTCAAAACACAGGCCCAATGGGGTGGGCGGCCTCCTAGACCTGGTAGGATTTGGCTGTGCAGGGCCGCTATCAGTGGGGATCAGAGTTGCTGGCACAGGCCTCCTGGATCTCTTTGAAACTCCCTACAAATTAAGCCCTTTGAGGTCTGTGAACCCACAGGCTCAAAAGCCCAGCAGTGACATTACACTGACCCTGAAACCCCAAGTGGGGCAGGGGGATTGGCAAGCTCTAGAAGCCAGGTTGAAACTGCTGTTCTTACACCTTTCCCTTCACAACCACACACACACACACACACACACACACACACACACACAAAAGCACAAGAGAAATCATGCAGCTTCACTCTGGCTGCTGTAGCTGTTGAAAATAAACATGGCTATGGGCCATACCCTTGAAGAGAGTGGGGCCAGGGCAGGTCTGGCTCCGGAAACAGCTCTGACCAGAGATTGGCAGTCTGGGTCTAGGCCCCACGTGGTCAGTGCCCTCCAGAAAGTTCCCCCGAGCCTTGGTTTCCCTGAAAGGACGATCTGCGTTTTACTCGCTTCCCAGAACTGTTTGGAAGGGGATCGTGAGCCTTCCCAGAAGGTCAGTGCTACAGAAGCGATCCTGGGAGGTCATCTGATTAACCCTCCTGGTTTTGCATTTAAGGAAACAGAGGCTCAGAAGAAGCGTCTGGGCCGGGGCTGCAGATGTCAGTGGCCAAGCCAGGCCTCTGTGAGTCGTGAGCACTCCACTTGGAGTACAGCTCTGGAGAAACCAGCGGGACTCGGACAGGAGGGCCCACAGGGAAAGGGGTGATGTTACCAAGGAAAAGGAATGGTTGATGCTGTTGCGGGGCAGCCAAGAAGCCCACAGCTCCAATGCAACACTTTAATTGACATTCCACTGACACTTTGTCACACTTGGGGCCCCTCGCCTGTTCAGGAAATTCCTTGCTGTGCCTGATGTCTCCCATCCGCCCTCCACATCTCATCCTCACCCTGCTCCATCCTGCTCTGGCCCGGAGGCTGGCCTATCTGAGCCTGTCAGTGGGCAGGAGATGGGAGAGAGCGAGGTCTCAGAGACAAATGAGGTGGCCTTGGGCTAACTGTCCCTATGTCACCACTCCTCTCTGGGAGGTCTCTGCATGTCTCCTTCTATGTTCCAGACATTGCTCCCTCCCCTCATCCCTTCAGACCTAGGGATGGTGACTGCTCCACCACTACCAATCGAGTTATTACACTGTCCCTTCGGCTTCTCGACAGCCCCCTACACCTTTGTCAAGAGGCCCTTTATAAATGCACATGCACATGCTTAGTTGCTTCAGTCATGTCCGACTGCATGACCCTATGGACTGTAGCCCACCAGGCTCCTCTGTCCATGGGATTCTCCAGGCAAGAATACTGGAGTGGGTTGACATGCCCTCCTTCAGGGGATCTTCCTGACCCAGGGATCGAATCCTTGTCTCACACACTTCTGCATTGGCAGGCAGGTTCTTTTTACCACTAGGGATACCTGGGAAGACCCCTTTATAAACCCTCCTCAAATTATAATTTGAATATGCCCAGGATATGGTCTAAATGTTTATGTCTCCCCACAAATCATGTATTGAAATAGCAATCCTCATGGTGATGATATTAGAAGGTGGGGCCTTTGGAGGCAATTAGTCATGAGGGTGGAGCCCTCTTAATGCAGGTTAGTGCCCTTATAAAAGAGGCCCCAGAGAGATCCCTGGCCCCTTCCCCTATGTGAGGACACAGTGAGAGAATACCTTCTATGAACCAGAAAGCAAGCCCACTGAATCTGCTAGCACCTTGATCTTGGACTTCCAGAACTGTGAAAAATAAATTTCTGTTGTTTATAAGCCACCTGCTTGTGGTATTTTGTTATAGCAGCCAGAACAGACTAGGACAGCTTCCTATAGGGGTGCTGATGACATACCAGTGAGTCTGGTAGGAAGAAGGACCACTTCACCCCAGAAGCTGAAAATGCCCTATTCTTTCTTCTCTAACCTCCCCTGCAACTAGGAGAAGACATGTGACTGGTTTACCAGTTGGATGCAACTGGCTCTGGTATGGGATTCCTACAGAAACTGATGCTGAGACCAGGCAATTACATGGGCAGTGACCCCAGGGAGCCCAGTAGGGGAGAGGGGAAGTAGGCCAGGGGAGGGATGGTGGCCATAAAAGAGGCATGATCCAGCAAGTTACTATGTGGGCAACCAGAGCCAACGAAGAGTTATCCCGGCTGGGAGGGAGGGAGCTGGGCTATCCATACATCACCTCCCACCCATCACTGGTTAGGGCTGAATTATTTCCCTACTTATTTCATCCAGACTTGGCTTCTATTTCTGGCAACTAAAAACCCTGGTGATGACACCATTCCATCTTCTCCCTTGCTGCTTCAACACGCCACCCTCTTTCCCAGCCCTCCTCCCACTCCACTCTGGTAGGCCCTTGTCCTTAGAGCCACACTCAACTGCTCCCAACACTCCCTTCCCCAGGGCATGGGGCACAGAAGAGCAGGGACTATTCACAGATTCCAGCATTCACCCACGGTTGCTGAGCACTTTCTGTCAACCGGGTCCTAGGGCCAGTGAACAAGCCATGCGGAGCGTCTGTCTTCTCGTGGCCTGTGTCTGATGGGGAGATGATGCGAGCGTGGAAGTGATTTGTGGAGCAGGGCGGCACTCTGCTGGTGGCACTGGAGGCCTTCCCCCCTGTCCCCGCCACCTGGGCCCAAGTGATCTCTTCCACGACCCGGGGCTCGGGTTGACAACAGCCGAGGTTTTGTTTTCTAAGCAGTTACCACAGCACACTGATCTCCCTGCAGACACACTTCGTGGTCTCTGAGGTGTGGCCCCAGCTGGTGCGGCGACCGTGTCAGCGTCTCTGACACGTGTGAGCAGGGGAGAATCTGATGGAGAGCAGCCACTTCGGGGGTGGAGAGAGCCCGAGCGGAGGCACAAGGGCCCCTTGCAGCTGAGAGGCTGTGAACCCTCTCTCCAGGGGTCATTCCCCAACATCTGTCACCAGAGTCAGCCAACTCAGCCTCCTGACACGTGCCCCCTTCTGCTCACAGTCACAGCCTCTCCAGCCCAGGCCATCCACATCTCTTGCCTGGACAAGTCTTCCTGTGACCTTCTCACTGATCTCCAGGCTCCTGTCTACCCCTCACTGTCCCTCCAGCTGACAGCCACAGTGGTGCCCGCACCCTGTCGGATCCCCCGAGCCCCACAGAAGGCTGGCCCTGCCTCTCTGCCTGAGGACTCCAGGGGGAGGCCAGAAGTGCTGGGGAATCATGCCATGCCCCACTCAGCCCAGAACAGCTCTCAACCAATGCCTGATGGGAGGCGGTATATAAATAACCCAGCTCCCTCCATCTCAGGGCTGGAGCGGAGGTGGGGATAACTCCAAGGAATATACTCAAATTCAGCGACTCCCAGAGTTTCCCAACAGGGTTAAGCTCCAGTATCCACAATGGTGACCTGCTTGGCTGTCTCCCTTCCCTGGCTCAATTCTCCACTCCCCTATGGGGTATTTTCTGGGATCACTTCCTACACAAACAGCTCATGGGCAAATCCCTGTCTCAAGGTTTGTCTCTGGGGAAACCCAGCTAAGCAAACCACACTACTGCCTCACTTAAAACTCTTCATTGGTTCCTTGTGGCTCTTGGGATAAAGTTCAAAGCCCCTAGTGTGACCCACATTCTGCCCTGATCAACTCTGCCCCTACCCCGTCCCCCACCAAGCCCTTCCTCACTGAGCAAGTCGATCCTTAGGATGGCTACACTATCTCCAGCCCTTCACGTGCGCTGCCTCCTCTTTCTGGAATTTTTACCCTACACCCAGATTAAGTCCTCCTCAGCCTCGGGCTTCAGCTTTCAAAGGCAGCTTCCTCCAGGAAGCCTTGCTTGCAGGAAGCCTGGCTTGCAGGTCTGGGTCTTGGCCCCCCATACCCTGCTCCCATAGACCTCATTATCTCCCCATCACAGCACTGTGAGGCCAAGGGCCATTTCTATCTCATTCACAGTTGAATCAATTTGTCTGGCACCTGACATCAGTTTGACGCTTGAAAAACATTGGATGATCAGATGAATGAATAAATTCTACCAAAGAATCTTCTAGCCTCACTTGAATTCTCCCAGAGATAGAACTCATTACCTCCAGAAGAAGTTGTTCTACATATGGAAAGCTCTAACCATGAACCATCATGTGACACAGAAGCCTGCCGTGGTCATGGATCAGGGATGCTGTGTCTAAGTATACAGTCCCATCTCTCACTTGGTTGGGCAGAAGGACCACTAAGCTGACTC